AAAGAGTAGGTGGTTTAAGCTGGATACTCAAAGTCACTTAATTCCAAAGAACCGTTTATTCTGATAAAGCTGTTTTCTCTTTTTCACAGCCTGACACTCACCTGTATTCAATTGAACCAGGCACATACAACATGCAAACCCTTTAAGGAACTTACAAATGGTATATATAAGCAAAATAAATGAGCAATTATGATATGGAGAGAGAAGTGCAGAGATGGAGGAAGTCCTGGGTACAGTGGGACTGTAGTGGGTTAACCTCTAATCCTGTTTTAAGAGGTATGGGTAAAGGAGGCGAAGAAAGTCTTCCTGGAAGAAGTGATGTCTACACAGACAGGAAGTTAATCGGTGGGAGTTAAATAGTCAGGAAGACAGGGGAAAGAACATCCCAGAGAAAGGAAGAGTTTGTGCAAAGGAAGGTCCAGCAGCATCTGAGGTCGAGGCCCTTTTAGGGGACAATGCCGGAATGGAGAGTTCCAGAAGGAATGTGGTGAGAGGTGATGCTAAAGTCCTAGCTGAAACCCAGACCAAGAGAGGCCTTGCAACGCCCCCTGAGGAATGTGGATTCTATCCTGGAACCATTGGGAGGTTCCTTGATTTGTGCTTTAGAAAAATCGAAGAAGCTGCAGAGAGAAAAGGGTCTGGCGGAGCCCCGCTGGGAGCAGGGAGACCAGTTAAGAAGTGTCGGATATGGGCAGTCCTCACTTTCTCGTGTCATCTCTCTTGAGAAGTCTGAGTAGGAGCAGCACAGAACTTAAGACAGTGGAAAAAGAGGCATAGATGGGTACTTTCCAAGTGAGCCCACAGAAAGGGGTCATTTTGGACCTGGACGTCTCTGCCTTATGTGATCAGAATGACATCAGTGAAAGTAATAACGGACAGGATGCCAGTCTCAAGTAAACAATATTCCTAAGCTCAAATGCCACATAATCTGTAGCAAAAAATCCACAGACATTTGTGGTTCTCCAGACCAACTCTAAATTTTGGATTTTGATCACTTTATCTAAAAGTTTCATTGGAAAAATGAACATGATGCCAAAGAAAGAAATGTATTGCTTCACCAATAGATTTTATTAGCAATAAGATTCAGGAGTCACATGGACTGAGAGTGAGCAGAACATCTTTCTTCACAGTTTCCTGACTACAGAAGTTGAACCTGCGGAGAGAAAACAATGAAAAGTCAACTCTTGGATGAGAGTTGAGCACGAGAACATTTTCTGCTCTCTCATCGCACGTGCTGTGCCTGAGTCCAGACGCCGGCGAAGAGAAGACCTCTTCTGTATAAAGAACTGGATTCTCCTTTCCAATTTTGTTTCATGGTTGTGCATGAAACGAAGGAGGTGTCATTTGACACCTCAAAGGACAGGGAGGGCTCATTCGTCACATCCTAAAAGAACCTACTAAACACTTGGCACACTGTTAACCAATACAACTGAGGAAGAGTAAGGTCAGTGGCGTGATGAGAAATTGGCCAGAGAAAAAATTCTGAGGTCCTGGTGTTACATCGGCTAGACATCCTTATTTTAATTCAATAACTGAAGTGAAATGACTAGTTGTGATCATTAAGACCGAACATTTAGGATGCTTTGGGGCTCATATTCTTTAATAGAATATATAAGCCTATGTAAAGTTCCCGGCACATAAAAGTGCTCAGAAAATGCTGTTTTATCTACATCCTCATTTCCCTCCCTGTGGTCTGATGGTTGGCAGACTCACCAATGGCAAATTAAAGGTTAAAAACTAATATTGATTAGGGACACAAGACATGAAGGGCGAACAATAGCTGTATATGAATAAAGGTGAACTGAATTTGTTTTGTGGTAGTTTAGAATTTGCTGGAGTCAAATTTCCTGCATATGAATTCTAGCACTAAGCCTTCGTTTAATTATCTGTAAAATGGGGATAATTATAGTACCTACCTCCCGTCACCACAATCAAGGGAGTAAACATATCTATCACCCCCCAATTTTTTTTCTGCTTGTCGTAAGCATTCCTTCCCATCCCTTTACACCTGCCTTCCCCCCAGGCAACCACTGATCTGCTGTTACTATAGACTAATTTGAATCGTATAGAATTTTGTATGAATAGAATCAAAGGTGTATGCCCTCTTTTGTCTAACCTCTTTCATTCAGTATAATTTTGTTCAGTATAATTATTTTGAGATTTATCCAGGTTGTTGTATGTATTTCATTCCTTTTCACTGTATTCCATTATGTGGCTAGACCATGATTTGTTTACCCCTTTCCTGTTGGTGGGTGTTGGGTTATTTCTAGTTTTTGACTTTTGCAATAAGAGCTGCTATGAATATTCATATATAAATCTTTGTATAAACACATGCTTACTTTTCTCTTGGGTAAATATCTAAGATGGAAATGGCTGAATCATAGGTAGGTGTGTGTTTGGCTTTTTAAGAAAGTGCCAGACTGTTTCTGAAGCGGTTTTATCATTTTATATTCCCACCCAAAGTGTATGAGAGCTTAAAATGCTTCATGTCTTCACCAACACTTTGAACTGTCAATCTTTTTAATTTTCGTCGATTAACTAAGTTCATGGTAGTATCTCATCGTGGTTTTAATTTTCATTTTCCTAATAACTAATGCTATGTCTCTTTCTGTCCTTTCTCTTTTAATCTGTGTGTATTTTTATATTTAAAGCCCATTTGAGTATTGGGTATTGATTTTTACAAATTCAACTTGACAATCTCTGTCTTCTAATTGTTGTATTTAGACCATTTTCATTTAATATGATTATCGATGTGGTTAGGTTTAAGTCTATTATCTTATTTGTCCCCTATATCCTTTGTCTTTTTCTACCTCTTTTTATGTCATATTTTGTTTTGTTTTAAATTCCATTTTATCTCCTTTGCGGGCTTGTTAGCTACAGTTCTTTGTTTTATTATTTTAGTGGTTGCTTTAGAATTCATACCATATATTTTTAACCTATCACATTTTACTTTCCAGTGATATTATACCAATTTACATGTGGTATAAATACATTACAATGCTGTATTTCCATTTCCCTCCTCCTACCCTTTATGGCATTGTTATCATATATTTAACTTATACATGAGTTAAACCCCCTGAACTGTCATCATCTTAAAAAAGTCAATTATCTTTAAAGACTTAAATAATAATATTCAAAGACTTCATATATTTTCCATTGTAGTTACTATTTCTCATGCTCTTAACTCCTTTCTGTAGAATCTTTTCCAACTGGTATCATTTTCTTCTCCCTGAACACCTTCCTTTAATATATCTCAATATATTGACCTGCTGGTGATAAATTCAGCCTTAGTACATCTGAAAAGTCTTATTTCATCTCTGAAAGCTATTTTGTGGGTATAGAATTCTAGGTTAACTAACAATTTTTTCCTTTCAGTACTTTAAAGATGTTGGTTCTCTGTCTTCTCGCTTGCATTGTTTTTGATGAGAAATTTGCTGTAAGTATTTTTATTCTTCTATACGTAATGCGTATTTTTCCCCTCTGGCTGCTTTTAAGATTTTCTCTTTATAACTAGTTTTGAGCAATTTGATCTTGATGTGTATTGGTTAGTTTTCTTGTTTCTTGTTATGTCCTTTGAATCTCTTGGTTTAAAGTTTTCAAGTTTTCAAGTTTGGAGCTATTATTTCTTCAGATATATTTCTCTGTCTCTTCCCATTTGGAGTCTTCAATGAGAAGTATAACATGCTTCATGAAGTTATTTTACGGCTCACTGATGTTTTCATATTTAAAATTCTTTTTTTCTGTGTTTCATTTTGGATACTTTCTATCATGTCTTCAAATTCATTAATCTTATCTTGTGAAATGTCTAATCTGTTCATTGCATCCAGTATAATTTTATTTCAAATGTTATAGTTCTCATCTCTAGAAATTCAATTTGGGTCTTTTTCCATACATGCCATGCCTCTATTGACCTTCTGAACAAATGAAATACAAGTTTAATAACTGTTTTCATGTCTGTATCTGCTATTACAACATTTGTATCAGTTCCGGTTTGGTTTCGATTGATTGATTATTCTTTCCATCATAGGTTGTATCGTCTTGACTTTTCGTATACCCAAGAAACTTTTATATAACATCATATATTGTGGATTTTAGCCTGTTTGCTGCTGGATAATTTTATATTCCTGTAAATTTTCTTGAGTTCTGTTCTGGGTGGCAGTTAAGTTATTTGGATACAGTTTGAAATTTCCAGGTCTTTCTCAGTCTAGGCTAATTATTTTCCACCACTGAGGGAAGACCTTCCTAATATTCTACCAAACGTTTCATGATTTATGAGCTTTTCCGGTTTGGCTAGTGGAAACAGGTACTATTCCCAGCCCTGCAAGAGTGCTGGGTCCTGTTCTCCTTCATCCTTTCACATGGACGTTTAACTGGCCTTGGCTAGTTTCTCCACACGCATGTGCTGATCAGTACTCTGTTGAATATCAAGGGAGCTTTCCAGGTTTCTGAGATTCTCTTTGTAGATCTCGCCTCTCTGGTACTCTGTCCTGTGAAATCTAGTTGCCTTTGGTTTTCTGAATACTTAGCTCTGTCTCCTCAACTCAGGGAGTCCACTGGGCCCTGCCTGAATTTTCCCTCCTTGTGCCACATCCTGGAAACACTCTCCAGGCAGTAAGTTGGGACAATTGTGATGCTCCACCTTATTAGTTTCTCGTCTCTCGGGGATTGCTTTCCTTTGTTGCCTGATGTTCAGTGTCTCGAAACTGCTACTTCAAATATTTTGTCTGAAATTTTGGTCATTTCAATTGGGAAGGTAAATCTAGTCTCTTTTACTCGATCATTTCCAGAAGCAAAAGTTCCCTCATTAGACTTTTATGAGGACTGAATGATATGATGACACAAGAAACATATCAGTGTGCCTCGGAATTTGGTTTTATATTCAACACACTGGGCTAATATTGGGATTATTATGATTATCGTCGTTCTTAGCTCACTTTTTCTGGTTGCTCACCATGGTAAATGTCCTTCGACTCACACACACTTCAGTTTTGGTTAGAACTAAGCCTTGACCTTTGTCTTTACTAGGAGGGCCAATGATACAGAACAGCCTATTTGTATTACTTGATAAATTAAGCGTTTTTCTGATAATTTAAGTGACAATTTGGTCAACTCAGGAAGTTTGAGGAAGATACACATACTAAGCTCACACATACCACAAGGCACAGCTGCTAAATGAAATAATTCTTTTCACTTTAGATTATGAAACCAAATTCTCATTCTAACACCTAACTTGTATTAGATAACACAACACACATCTACACACCTATCCAAGAGTTTTCCTAAAGTTCGACATTTTCTTTTAAAGAAATAAAAGATATTAGGAAGCAGCTATGGCTGGGATGTGGGAGAATCATGTAGGAGATTTAACTTAAAGTAAACTTTCAGTGGGAATAGAACTATAAATCTCTTCAGAATTTTATTACTTACACTCTTCCATCATTTCTTTCCACGATGATCTGGGATGCTCCCACTCTGGGTTGAGTTGGGTTGATCATATTGTTATACCAAACAAACTTAACCTTCTGCAAATCTCCAACATCCACATTTGAGTCAAATTCACTGGAATGAATATTGCCTGGCTTGAGAGAGCCCCTTGGGAGTTGAAAAGTTAATAAAAACATACATAAGTGTACATAAATCTACATGTAAATATATACAGATATGTTTCTAAACCCAGCTTATAATGCATCTCTAGTAAGAGGATTGATAGTACATTTGTCATTCTAATGTATTAAATAAATGCAGTCATGTACGCTAACTCAGTGGTAGTTCATTTGCCATCAACAACTCAAATTACTTTAAAGTCATTTTTACTTTCATAAAACTTCAATCATGTTTTAGGCACAATCTTAACATAATTTAAGAAATGATGACATTATTATATTATCTTTATCCAGCTGTTTTGTGGACATAATAATTATTTAATGTTTATAAATCAGATACCATGCATCAACATAAATATTAGGGGTTTTCTTAGAAATAGCAGAGAAAAAAATTTAGAGACAAAATTCAGAAATGTATTAAGGTGCAAGGGTGACATAATCTCTTCATTTTAATGATATGTGGCCACACTGTATGTTCACATATTAGTGAATAAATTCTGCTGTCCATAACATACATCATATGTGGGAAGTATTTCAACATTTAAGAAGCTTAAAGTTAAGTTTTACTCACTTGAAAATTTCGTATTGCTTAGAGTTTCCTTTATTTCCAAACAAAGATATCAGCACGTGTCCCCCAACCTTCTTTCCAGACAGAGTCACATTTGCTTTGTACCTCCAACCTGCATGGGGAAGAGGGGGGAGGAATTTGCAGAATGTCTGCTTGTAGAGAAGATGCACCGAGAACAGGTTAACTTGGATTCCACTACTGCTGAACTTTAAATAATTCATATATAATATTGGTAATCCTTCTAATCATATAGTCATAGATAGTCCTTTATCTAAGTGTTCAGAGGGTAGGCTTTGGGGGAGGGGAAGGGCACAGAATCTTTCCAAAGTCAACAGATTTCAAGCCAAGGGAAAAAGAAATATTTTGCATGCAAAATTTTAACCTAACAATTAATTCTTGAATGTCAAAATAACTCTATATTAAAACATTGTGGAAAAGTAGTAGAGTGCGACATCTTCATTTCTTCATTACTTCGTTTTCTCACAGATCACGTTTTAGAGTACTGCCATCATTTTGTCTAAATAGTCTACATTTGCTTTTAAAATTCTACGATTCAACTTTCCATTGCTATTGGAAATATGTTAAAAGATGACAACCTATTTATGGTACTAGTCATTAGTGAACTAGTTTTTGCTATTTTGAGCTAGTCTCGGGAGGGGATAAATTTTGGCTTTAGTTTTACAATGCAGTTAACCCCATGGATAGTTTTCTTCCTCTATGACTTCAAAAAGAAACTTGGAGTTTGTCCCCATGCTTCACTACCAATACATCCTCTAATTTCCATCACCCATGGGTTCTATAGTCCTAAATATTTCTTGAATCTGTCAACTTATTTCCATTCCCACAACCTCTGCCATCTCTCTCCTGGATTACTTTTTGGCTTGTACAAAAGAACAAAATTTTTCTCAGTGAAAGTTTTGACCAAATATAAAGAGATTGGAGCAGAAGAAGCCTCCTGAATTCAGCACCAGAATCAATGTGAACAAACTTATTTTTGTATCATTGAGAGTTTAGGCCCCAAACTCTGTTCTGCTACCCAAATTAGCGGAGCACATGGCATTTGATTATCTTTCCATGCAGGGGAGAGGTATTTAAAAGTTTTGTACAGAAAACAAATTTCACTGGACATGACAAAATACATAATATTAATCATTTAAGGCAGATCAAATAGGAACTTACGGGCAAAATTGCTGGCATCACCAGTGTTTAGATAAAATTTCTGGCCTTCTTCCCTTGTTTTCTCAGGAAATCTGTCAGCATAATGACCCATCTGCGGGCAGCCTTCTCTTGGACATGGGAAGCACTTGTTCTAGGGAAAATAAACAAATGATGAATGAAGATGCTCTTTCTTTTAATCGTGCATCATTTTTTCCCACATGTTGTTGCAATTCAAGTATTCTAAAGGCAATTATGTTCTGAAGGTAAAAGAAGACTTTAACAGTGTCTCAGGAAAGGTTAAAAATGCATCTCATTATTTACAATGATAAATCAGCAATTTCACTGTTAAATAACATAATACTAACAAAAACAGTATAAAGATCACACAAAAGAGAATTTATATACATGCTTTAATCTTCTCTCTTTTGCCCCAGTTGCCCCAAGACATCCATCTGCCTGTAGGTAGTTAGAAATTTATTTTGGAAAGATTGAGAGAGAAAGAGCAGGAGGTGATAATCAGCTTCTGATATGCAAAATGGGACCCAGTAAGAAGATAATAGGCTCAAAAATCAGGTTTTCTTCAATTTTTTTTTTTTAAGCTCTCACTTAGTGTACTTCAAGGTCTGAAGAATTCAGATCTCAGAATTCTCAGGGTGGAAAGAAAATACTCCCATCCTAGTTGGTTGTTAAGGCTTAGCCATGAGATTGGGATCTAGAAAAGATGGATATCATAGAGGAAAATATCTTCTCTTTCTGGACCAAGGAATTATGAGAAGAGAGAGAAAGGGAAGAACAGAGTGGGAAGGACAAACGCCACAATTCCCACCATGGAAGGGCAAGGCTGCTCCACAACAGAGAAAGTGGTGGACTCCTGGATCAATGGACCAGATGGAGACTGAGCCGAGTCTCAGGTCTACATCCAACAAGAGGTAAGAAGAGACTAAGACAGCCAGGAAGAATGGCCAAAGCTTTCTGAGGAGATTGCCTGAGTCAGAAGAGCAGACGCACCCAGAATTCATCAGCAGACATTTGCTGTGAGCCCATCAGTAATGGGGACCCACAAGTTCTCCCCTCTGACCACCACCACCACGATTACTTTGCCCATTGCCAGCTTGGAGAGAAAGGCTGAGAAATCTGCAAGATCAAGAATTTTTCTTATAAAAGTGTCTGAGCATCACCTGAAAAAACTGTTTATGTTATTGAGTCAGATTAAGTTTTAACTAAATGGAAACTAAAGCTTCTTAGTTTGTTTTCCTCATTACCTAGAGAAAAGGGATTTGGGAAGAAGACAAAAATAAAGTTAGACCAGAGAAAGAGGGGTGTTGTTGGTGTACATGCAAGCTGCCCTGTGAATAAAATATGCACCTCCCCCAAAAAACACACATTTGTTTAATGCTAATTTTTATATTTTAGGTTCTGGGCTGAGCAATTAAAACATGTCATCTCATTAAACCCACCCACCCAATCTTTGAAGTTTAATATTATTATTTACATTTAGAAATGAAGACACTGCCTTAGAGAAGCTAAGTATTTTGCCCCAAATCATTCAATAATTTAAAGATGAAACCAAGATTCAGATTCTCTCTCTTCTATATTAAGGTATAGACATGCTATCTCCTCGGTGATTGTGACTTCATCTGGTATGAAATTTTATTTATTAAATTACATACATCATACATTTTTATTTGAAAAAAAGTACAGTGAAAAGAAAAGCAATTTTAAAGAACCAGGCAATAGATATGTCATATTCGAGATCACATTTAAAGATCCTAACCTAGATATCTAGAAAATACCAGTCAAGATGAAAATTAAAAAAAAAGAAAAGAAAAGAAACCTTGGTGATTATGGGATTGCACAGAAATATCCACATGCCTATTATTATGTAGTTTCATAAGGTCAGCATTTAAGGTAAGATTTCCTTGTCTATCAGTATTGTGTAGTCAAAGATCAGATGTCTATAGACTATTTTTTTTTACTTAGAATTATTTCCAGAACAAGTTTGAACATTTACCTGATACACATAAAAGTGACAGAGAACAAGGCAGACCTGGAAAATTTCAGTGGACAAGCCCATTTCTCTAAAGTTCTCCAGTCCCTTATCACTATTAAAATAAATTTGTATGATTAACAGTATAAGTAACGTGGTAGTCATATAGTAACAGTCACTGAATGCATGCCATGAACAGTGAACCACATTGGTCATGAGAAGTGATGGTCACGAAGTTCTTTAGGTGCAAAGTGGAGTATACTTACTGTTGTGAAAGCTTTGTAAGTGTCACAAGGGAATCCAGCAAAGCCATCAGGGTTGAGGATGCTGTCGTTATAATACTTGAAGCTTCTTAAGTGATTGCATGCTACAAAGTTACAAGTGCCTTGGAAATCAGACATGATTCCACATCAGTGACAGATTTAATTTTTCCAGATTAATGTCACAATCAGAATACAGTTGTTGAATAGATTTCTCTAGTGTGAACTCATGGCAGTCACAAGACATAATCATTTATTAAGTCTATGATTTGTGATGAAATCAGAAGTTAAATACTGTTAAAATTATAACAGTTTATGCCAAGACTAATGGCAAAATAGCTTTTTTTTTTTTTTTTAATGGAAGAAATCACTTTAGAAGGAAAAGATTGGTCCATATAGTAATGCATTCACTGGATTAGAAACAGGGAAGGTTGACTACAAATACATTTTCTTTCCTACAGTCTCCTCATGCCCACTTTCCTCAATGAAAACCTATATCTTGGGGATACAATTAAAAGTCTTTTATTATAGAAAATGTGAGACCTGTACAATACCAAATATTTAGCAAGTTTAGCAAAACAAAACATAAATTTCCCCCAAAGACAATCTCTTTGTGTATGTAATAGTTTTACCTTCCCAGATCCCATTTATGTCAATAATACTAGAGAGAATATTCTTCTGACATCCAGGCATTTCTTTTCCTCCATTTGGAAAGAAATCTAGGTGTCCTGCAGTTTGGCTCATCCCAAACCCTGAGGAATTTTAAAATGTGGGAGAGTTAATGTTAACATATAGACTCAAAAAACACTCTAGGAGGATGAATTGAGGAACTCACCCAAGTTGGGGATTAAGGGAGCAATATCTGTGTGAATCACATCCACAAATTGGGCATCCGAGGGGTCCAATCGGATTAATTCGGGTGTTCCCTCAAAGGAAGGTTTAGCTGGGTCCAATCCTAAAATAAACAGGATGTGTCATGTTAACGTTTATCATTGTAAATGCACACTTGTTTTTCTTCATTAGCTGTAGAACTGAGTGCAAGGATCTGTAGTTATGAGTTATGCATGAAAGAGATAAGCTAGTTCTTCCCTAACCTTTCCATTTTTGGAAGAGTAATCTGTTTCTAATTTTTATTTGCATTAAAGTGAATTTTCCTCAAACCATGGAATTTTGCTCTACTTATGGATGCTCAGTCCCTGGGACAATCCTTGCCGCTAGCGGCAGTTACAAGGAAAGAGCCAGACTCTGGGAGACTCCTAAAAGCTTTTCAGGCTAAAAAGAGTCCTCACTGCACTGTAAACTGACATGAGGGCAAAGACCTTGGCTTTCACAGTCACCAGGACCAAACACAGCTTTGCACAGTTAGCCTGACTGAGCAGGCTCTTGTAAACACTAACAGACTATGGGAAAGAACATTCTCTCCAGCAAATTATCAATAGACATTCCAGATGCCTCCACTGATCCAAAAGCAACCATCTTATCCAGAGTATTAAGAAGAAAATCAGGAGGTCAAAGACAGAGTGGGATGATGAGAGAGGAAAGTGGCTATTCCTTGAAATAGTCATCTCTCAGATCCAGGACAGCAAAGTCTTTCTTATAAAGTTACTGGGCAATTTTAGGACCTGAGTATTCAATATGTGACTCCATTGGCCAAGGCAAGCAGTCTGAGATTTGTAAGGTAATACATTTTTATCTAATTAGTGGCACGCAGAACTGGCAGCCCAGGGCCACCTGTCCACCTGCCTCAAATCTGTGGTTGTGGTTGATGAGAACTGGGCTAATTATCAATTGCTATTGAAGCAGAATATAATTAATTATACATTTTTGAGCTCTTTGGGTTAAATTCAATTTATTTATTTCATTCTTTATGTTATTTATCCTATTCATGAAACTTGTCCTTTGTGAACGTTTGAAAAGGGGGAAATAGATATGCATAAGACTTCCAGATGTTCTTAATTCACATTTTTGTCACTTGAAATATTTACACGTTAAATAGGGCTCTGCAGGCTGAAGATCGATATTAATAAAAATTTCACAAGGCCTCAGCACATGGTGACTTCTGATCATGTGGCCCAATCCAGAAAATGTGAAAACCCGTCTCCTGAGGTAAAAAGCAGGGCTGCACCAAATTTCCATTCATATCAGCTACATCTAATCTAATTTTGCAGCTTTTACTGTTTCGACCAACCTGTGATCCGTCCAATGGTCCCGTTGGTCCTTCTTCCCGCTTCCCCTGCAGCGTGAGACCCCAGGCTATGGCCGATGATGTGGACATCAGAAGGCGAGTACTGGAACGCTGACTGTTGGAAAGAAAACTTCAGAATGTTTTTGAACACTGCAAAAGTTAAGATGGGTGAAGAAGGGGACACCTGAAAGCTTGAGTTTTAAGAAGACATGTCCACCCCCCTTCAAAGCAATTGATTTTCATACATTTTTTTTTCAGTTATAATAGAAAATGGTGATGGGCTTAACATTTAAATTGATGAAAGTAGGTGTTCTTTTTGGTTGTTTTACTATGTAGAGAGAATATTTGGTGGATATGAGGAATTGTTACCAAGAGGTAGTGAAGCAAGTATTTGGATTAGAAAACAGTAATGAAAGCAACTATCTAAGCAGATTCAAGTTTAACGTTTTATCCGTTTTGCGTTAATAAACCAGGTTAGCTTGTTATCATTGTGTTTCTCTTAAAAAAAAAAAATGAGTTTGATCTTGAGATTGATATTATCAAGTCGACTTAGTTTAATAACTGGTAAAATTAAAAGACATACTGGGGGAATTAAGTAGAAAAAACTTACCTGGTTGTTTGAATAATGTCACATTTATTGACCTTAATAGGCATATTGATAAAGCCCAAATCTAGATTATTTTTTGCATTTTTTTCAACCAAGGGGAAAGCCAAATCTCAGTAGAGAAGTGTCTTTAGCAATTATTATACCAACAGCATTTTTTTTTTTTTGAAGAGTCCAGAGAATAATGTGCATGGGCGTTTACATAACCTGGAGGTTATACAAAAGTTACCTGAAGAACTTCAACCAAATATGCCACTTCTGCCCCCACAATGCGGACATTCTGTACAGCTTGTGAGTAAGTCGTTCGGGAGCCACTTTTCCAGTCTACACAGACGCAGTTCACGCTTTCCACCTTAAACAAGTTCTGGTGGGAGAGACATGATAAATAGGTAAATGATTCAGAATCTTTGTTAATTCCTGATTAACACATTTGAGGACTAGGATAAATTCCCTCCTTGACCTGTACAATATCACATTTGCTTTTAATCTCAAAGCAATGGACAGAACTTCTAGCCTGTTACGGATACAGAATCCCTTTTAAAGTTTCACATTGGCTCCAAACTGAAATTTGGCTGTAATGGGAACTGGATTCTTGGGATTTTACTGCAATGGTTGCATGGAGACTTGTTTTAGTCTTGTAAAATGTGGTAAAGTGGATTGTTTCATTAGAGCATCATAATGTCATAAGACTACATTGTCCCTTACTAGAATACACCCCATGACATTGCCTGCCTTGCTCACTGCTGTATCTTCAGTGCCTCAAACAGTTCCTGGCACATAGTAGGGGCTCGATAAATATTTATTGAATAAATAAGTTAATGAATAAATGAAAGACGATATTAGGATCCTCCTAAATAAATATATTGATGGTAAATGAGTAAACTTTTCCATGTTGGAAAAACTAATCAAAGTTTTTGGATGAACGTTTTTTATTGTATATTACTGAAGAGTTATTTCACAGAAAAGCATAACCTCTCAGAAGCCTTATTTGATGGGGAGCTGTCAATGATAGTTTCATGGATGTTAGATCTGACAGGAATTTTGTTTGTTTGTGTGTATTTACATATATCCCCACTTTTTTTCCAAGGAGAGTTTGAGAAGAATGAAGAAACAATCTTAGAAATCATCTTCAACTCTTTCTTTTTACAGATAGAAAAATCCAAAGAGTGGAAGCAATTTGCTAATGTCGCGGTTAGCTAAGGATAGAGTTAAACTGGAATCTAAGACTTTAACCTTCTAGTTTAATTCAATTTTCTCCATCAGGTGTAACAATGTTGTCAAAGACAGATCAAATGCAAGAAAAACACATCTGTTTTTGAGATCTCAGCAATAAATTGTATACACATACGTAAAAATCTACATTACTTTTGAGCTGAGGATCACTTATTTTTTTTTTCTTCACTGTTGTATAGAAATTAGTATTACCCTCTCCCCCAATGATCATCAGCTTTAAATTATTTTAGAAGACAAATTATGGTTTCACTGATTATTTCTAAACTTGTAAAGTGAATTAGCCTGCTCATTTTAACTGTCTTCAGAGTCAGCGAAAACTCTCCGGAGTTGTTTCAAGTCGGCCTTTGGTTAGAGTCATAAGACAGGTCTGAAATTAAATGGTTTATAAGGACCTTAGTGTCTTTTCTCTTGAGCTCTCAGAAGAAATGATAGCACCTTTTTGTTACAGCTGACCACGGAACCCTAATGAATAAATGAATCAATGATAATATTCCTCAAGCAGTTATCTAGCAGTTACTACGAAAATTTGTTCTATTTGATTTTCTGTCTTTTAATTCTTCAGTATGACAGGGCACATAGCCAAAGGCAAATTAAAGAAAATAGGCTCACTACTGTCTAAACGACAGAAGCCAGAAATGAAAACCTACATAGCTTTCCTAGATGTTACTACCAGAGGAGATCGAAGAAGCAAGTGAAATCAAAGGAAAATCATTAGTTTGGGTAAAATAAGTTATCTCAGCTCTTCACTTAGAAATTAAAACCTAATGAAAAAATTAAAAACTATTGAAAATGCAATTCATGTTTTTTTTTGTTTGTTTTGTTTTTTATTAATGGAGCAACAAGCATTGCTGAATTTTGAAATCTCTCTGTATCGTTATCGAATACCCATTACCCAGAGCCACCAAACACCTGCCAACTTTGCTGCCCTGACTGTTCCAGGCCACTTCCACCTGCTGGATAATCCAGGCCAAGTGGGCTCAGAGGCTCCTCAAGTGTCACGGTGGCCGGCATATATCCTGAATGGCTGGGGCCTGTGCCTTCCCCATGGTTAGTTATCACTTTGGAAACAATCTTCCCTTAAGAGATGACAACATCTTACCTTGCATATATCGGCTAGCCAGCTTCCTTCCCCCTTGTCTAAGAATCCGTGAATAATAAAGCGGGTTTTTCTGTTCGTTTTGAAATTGGAAGCCTCTATGGTTGATGGATCTGCAGTGATTTTCTATTTGGGGGAGAAAATTGTTTAATGCCAAGTTTCTTGTAGTATCCAATAGAACTGTTTGTATGTGGAGAGAGGCGGTAGGTAGGAGAAGACTGCCTTGTGAGTAAGGTTCTCTCGTTTTAACCAAGTTATTTGCAATCACCACCAAGTCGTGACTTTCTAGATCTCAGGACACTTTTGCTCAACTTAAGATAATACGTTTGCTCTAATGTTGGTGGTAGAAGTCTTGTTTCCACAAAAGGAAAGGGGTGTGTGTGTGTGTGTGTGTGTGTGTGTATACATAGATTTTACATATATAAAATATGTTGGAAGATTATATATAATATTTAGAATATTTATTAAATGGTACCAGAGAGGTAGGATAAAAACAATATCAAGTTAATGGACATTTTATAAAACAGTTACATAAAATAATACTGAAGCTCATGGTCCTAAAAGTCTACAAACATGTAAATTCCACTGTCTGATTTAGACTCTTTAGAAGACTTAAAGGTCAGTATATTCTTATCACACAAAACAGATGGAACTCAGTTCTGAAAACAGTGAGCACTCTTACTTGAAAGCTGCTGGGGTTCTCATTAGTGTATAGGTAGAAGTGGGTGTTGACCTCTTTTGGACTCCAGGGCAGTACTTTGAAGGGTCTTTGCAAAGTTCCTGCCCATGGGGCATCATTGCTGAAACAGCCAAGTCTTGGAAAGCAGACTTCTTTTCCTGCAGTCACACAGAAATGTTTCAAGGATATTAGTTTAACTAGAATGCTCTTTTCAATGGTTTATTTGCCAAAATATGAGTTAGATTACATTGTTGGCATATTTTCTTCCTTCATATCCCCAAAGATCTTTCTATCTACACATTCACGAAACAGCTTCAATAGACAATATCCAAGTTAAAGACAGGCTGCTGCTCCTCATCTCTACCTCACTCTCCTTATGTCTCTGTCTAGTTCTGTGCTGGGTCCTGTTTAGCCTCTCAACTTCGAGGTCGTCCTTGAATCACTAGAAGAGACATCTTAGTGCCCAAGAAAGAAGCCTGTGCCCTAGGCCCTAGTAGAGGAGATGAGGCTATCTTCTGGCTTTTGGCTTTGGGTGGAGGGCTTAAGTTTCATGCAAATGCCACAACTTTGTTATCTCCTTGTTGCTGAATATTTTGGTCTCTGGCCTATGTTTGAGGGTCATCCTGAATTCTTATCATGAAGAAGCTGCTCACAAAAAATCAAACAGAAAAGCCCAACTCTGGGCTTAAATGTTACCTCCTAAAAGAACAACACAAAGGAAGGGGTCTTGAGGAGTGTAAAGTCTAGGTTAATAGTAGGAATGGGAGCAGTGGCTGTTACGGGAGCTGCATTCTTGAAATCGTACTATGTGCCAGGTGCTAAGCAAGGTTATTTACATGACTTCTCTTACCGAAGTCTTACGGTGATCCTATGAGAGGGGTGGTAGTATATGCCCATTTCACAGATGATGATGGTAAAGCACAGAGGGGTTAAGAAGTTTGCTCAGGGCAATACATTTGTGGCTGGTGGAAACAGGGTTCAAACCCCACACTTGACTCCAAGCTAGGGTTGCTCAACTTAGCAAGTAAAAACACAAACTATATTTGTGTTTCAGATAAACGATAAATACATTACTTAAAATTGTCACACATTTATTGTTTATCTGAAATTCAAATTTAATTGGGCATCTTAGCTTTTATCTGACAACCTTACCCCAAGCTCTAGTACTCTTGATCATGCATCTTTCTCCCTCTACTATATATCCTCATAATATCTTGAATTTGGCCATCATAACTCTTCTTGAAAAGTATTAAGCAGTGATTCTTCTCCAGCACTACATAATATGTTTACTTACCTACTACTGTTCCCAGCAGCAGTGAAAGTGTCCAGATCAACAGCATCTAAACAGAGTTAAAAATATGATTGAGTTTGGCTGAATAAGTTTTTCAAAGATTGGCGGAATTCAAGTTCAGTGAGACCTCTGCGGGGAAATGGCTAATGCTAATAAATTAGGCTTGGAAAATCTGTTCCTGACTCACCGTGGCAGTCTCGTCAGATTCTGCACACAAACAGGTAGAATCTGAAGGTCCTTTTATAGGCAATCCTTATCTTTTGAGCAGCTCCATGGAAAAATGACAGGCAAAGAGAGGAGGTTCCAAGGCTGTATTTCTAATCTTAATCATAAATAAACCAAAATTGATAGAGCATGTGAAATTTCCCACAGTACTTGTGGGAAGATGAGAAAAGGGTGGATATGAATGGTTCTTTCCTAATACGATTATACAGTGCTCAGAATCACCGTCATCTCGTGGCAGTAAAGGCTCTGGCCTGCCCTTTTTTTTAAAATTTAAAACTCTGTGCAGTTCTGTGGGTGCGTGTGAAACTAAATTGTTTTCACAGATTCGATAGTGACAATCTTGAAAACAAATACTAAAAGTTTACTAGTCAGGTAGTTTTTGTATTACCTTGCCTTACCCTCAAAAACAGTGAAATACAGGCTTTTCTTCAAGAGAATCCATTCCTTTTACAAAAGTAGTTGATAGTTTATTTTGATAGTCCCTAGAGCTAGTTTATTTCTTAACAATAACATGGAAAAAAAGAATAGATGAACTAAAAAAAGGTATTGAGGGCACTTCTAAGAGCATAGACGTGAAATTAGTGACCCTACCATTAAATGAAATGATGAATGAGAAAGAAAAATAAAATTTAACTTAGAAAAAAATGGTCTGGGAAAAATCATCTGAAAGAGACACTTTTGATAGAAAAGAACTGGAATATTTATAGTTGGTGATAGATCGCTTAAAATAAATTGTAAAAAAGATTGCAATGGGACAGCATAATTTTAAGAGATTAGAACTATTTAGCCTGACTGCATCACAGATATAGGTTGAATCATACAAAATTACCACATTTGTGGTAAAAAATGGTCAAATAATTCAGTTCCCTGACAAAGTTTACAGGTACAGAAAAAACAACAAAATTATTTGTATATGAGGAAAGTTCAAAAAAGTTGGGCAAGGGAAATGTTACGACCAGGGCCAAAGTCGCAAGGAAGAAATTCCATGGATGGGACATAGCAGGCCCTTAACACATCCCTGATGAATGAACGAATGAGGGAATGAAAATGAAAAGGAATTTATTTTGCATAATTGCTACAGCAGGAACTGTCCGTGTAATCTCACAGTAAAAAAAAAAAAATGATTTTTCTGAAGCCCTTTTTACTCAAAACAAGCAAACAACAAAAGAAAGGTGAGCCAATGTTCACTCTTGGGTTTACTATGAAGTAAAATGTATCCTATGTGAATCGCCAGATAATTCACAAAATTTCAAATTGGCATTTTAGATATTACAAAATTTAATTTATAATTAGGGTGAACTTTGTTCAACATAGGCTTTAGAATCAAGACCAAAAGTAACCAAATTCTGAGACAGAGACTAGACTCCATGGGGAATTATTTTATAAACTGAAATAGGTTCACATTTTAGAATGTTTTGAGAAGATTCAGTTTCCTAAACTGTTATGAAAGCTAAGAAGGGAATTGCACATAACAGTGGTCTATCCAGGTCAGCTCTAGAGAAATGACCTTCCCTAGATTCAATTTTGCTGAATTCTTTAGCTGGGTTGTACCATTTTATGAACCATATTGTTTCATTCAGACCATTAACATGATGCTGTAGGACTGTCTGTTTATAGAGTATGTGTCAGAGATTCCTGGCCTCTTCTTATAGGGAATAGAGCTAGACCCGCTTACCCAGTTTCCCTTGCAGGAGATGGACCACATGATCAACTTCTGGCCAATGACATGTGAGTGCACAGGGGTGCAGCAGTTCCAGTCCTGTTCATAAAAACCCACACATGATCCTGCATGTGTCTTCCCTTCCATGGCTTAATGCAGACAAGTACAGTGACCTTGAAGGCCATATGTTGAAGCTGGCAGAGCCATAAGATGGAAGGAGCCCGGGTTTCCTGATTAAAAGAAAGCCACCCATCAATCATGAAAACCCATTTTGAACTTTACATGATTAAGAAATAAATTCCCTTTGTTTTAAGCCACTGATATTTCAAGGTTATAGCAACCAGCATTACCTTAACCCATAGAGATGATTTTATTGTACAATGATTTCTCCGACTTCCAAAAATACTTCAGGTACCAGACATTGAGTCTTAATGCTTTGTCATGAGATTTGGATAGTACTTATGTATAACATTAGTATTTTGACAATTTTTTTTCCTAATTCTTGGTTTTAAAAATCCCCTTTTCTGCAACTTTCAAAATTATAAAAGTTGCTCAATTCTTCACTGCATTTTGGTAAAATTTTAACTGGCATTTTTCGATTCAGTCCTAATGGTGTTCATTGTTTCACAAGCAATCTGTGGCCATATAATATCTTAGGGTTTAATGAAAATTCACCCGATGTCACCTGGGCCCCCAGATGTAACTTATGTGTGGTTGGAGCAGTTCTGTGCTGGGTACATAGGAAACTCTCAGGTCCCACAGGGAGGTGGACTGGAGTTCCCAACAAAACCCTGCTCCCCACTAGTCTCTGGGCTAGAAGGTGGGCCCTGTAAAAGATGACAGAGCCATGGTCTTCCTTCTCCAGCGTCTCATGGACTTGAAAGTGGGCTTTCGTTAAAAAATCATTCCTAGAGTCAGCAGAGCATTACATCACATTGACTCAGCTTTGACTCTGCAACCTTGGACATTTACAAGGAAAGAGGCCAAACATGGACGTTTCTAATCCAGTAGTTCTGTTTGCAGAGGAGTTAAATATAGACATATGTTTAGGCTCTGATTCTGGCAACCTTGTGATACTAAAGTCCAGGTGAGGAAAGAAAGGCCCTGGGACACCTGTGTGGCCAGATAACCAGCCTGTGAGCCAGACAAGGCCTCATTTACTTAACCTTCAGAAAAGGTGGCCTGTTCTCCCTTAGCCAGTTTAGTCTACTTCTAGGGCCATTGGTGGGAGGGATGGCATACTCACCTGGGGATGCCAAACTTTCCCAAGTAGAAGAAGACTGCACTGATCTGGGATTGCTGCTATCTCACAGCTTCCAGAGAAACCATTCTGCCACATGTGAGGGGCTTCAGTTCACCCAGACCAGAGAGTAAAATTATAGTCCACTCTCCTGTTATGCATGAAGATGGTTTACTTTGTAGAACAGAATAACAAGCGGACTTAAATTTTATAGCATTAATTAGTTTTACACACTTTCAAAGTTTTTGCATTTAATCTTCCACAGAACTTGCAGAAGCTTTAGCTATTTTGCTTATAAAAAAAAAAAAAAACCAGTGAGACTCAGGGAGTTTAAGCAACCTACCCAGGGTCACACGGTTGGCAAGTAGCAGAGCTAATTCTGCAGAGGCAAATTCTTTCCACCGGCCCCAGATGACTCATTCGTGTGTATCCACAAAAGGCCATGTACTCGAGGCTGTGTTAGTATAGAATGGATCTAAAAAATGGTCAAGAATGAGTACAGCAGGTATTAATATATGTGTGTGTGTGTGTGTGTATATATACATATACACACACTCTCCAAAACAAAGTCACATACATATTTTTTTGGATAATCTATTTTATTTGTCTTTAGCTTCCTTACTAATAATGCAGCAGAATGGCGATTTTATCACATAGAAAGACAACTTTTGTGACATTGCCGATGATAATCATTTCTTTCCTGGGCCATCACAGTCATTTTCTAATTGCTTTTCCTCAGACAGTCCCCTCTCTTGTTTGTCCTTCACACACTGCCTAACAGTTAGGTTTAAACTGCAGACTGGCCATGCCATTTTCCCTCCTAGAATCCCAGCCCCTTTCCCTTGCCCTGTGCTTTCTAGATCAGCACTGTGCAATAGAAATATGTTGTTATCCACATTAAGAAAAAGCAAAAAGAAATAGGTAAAATATATTTTAATAATGTATGTAATAGACAATATTATTTTAACATGTGGCACTAGCCACATTTCAAGTGATCAGTTGTCACATGGGGCTAGTGCCTATCATATTAGATAGCATAATTCTAGATCAAATGTACTCTTCTTAACATTGCAAATAAGACTTCATATATCTGGTTAGCTTCTCTGAGGTTTCCAACCTTGTTGTATAACTATCTGACCCATTTTCCAGCCAGTGTGAGCTCCTTTCAAAATATGAACTCTCAAAGGGTTTGAATGGGATTCAACTATAGGTGCTTAAAGAATGGAATAACAAGATTTTCCAGATGTTGCTGAGCAGAAAGAGAGAGCAAATAGGTAGAGATGCAAAATTCACCATACCTAGAGATCACAGCTGGGATACTGGGAGCTGTAATGAAAGGAGGCAGAAGAGAGAGAGGAAAATAAAAAGAAAAGGAAATAAGGAGAGGAAGGAAGGAAGGAAGGAAGGAAGGAAGGAAGGAAGGAAGGAAGGAAGGAAGGAAATAAATTCAACTAGTAATTTGTACCAAAATATTTTTTGTCTATAGTTAAGATGTTCTGGAGATCAAACAATTAGAAATGACTTGAGGATCCTGAGAAGAACAGGGACAGCCAGAGGCCGTCTCACTATGTGCATTTCATAATCAACATTGTAAGGCAAATAGCAAAGTCCATTTAAAATATTAAAAAGCTGAAGGACATCTAATTTTAGCTATGATGGAAAAACTTGTATCAGACTTGCCCTTTTACAATAAGTAATTAAAAGAGTGGAGAAAACATATAAAACAATAATTTTCAAAGATTGGACAATGAGTAGTACAAGACTGCAATAAATGAAAAGAAGAAAAAAATGAGGTGAGACCTCTAACTACTCCAGCTATATGCCTGGAGGCATTTCTTGGACTCCAACACAGGGAGATAGATTCCAAGCAGAGCAAGACAGACTCATTGAACTGAAGAGAGATTAGAGCTCAGAGAGGCCAAAGAAATTAGAATTT